AAGAGAGAAATGAACCTTAGCTTCTGGATGAAGACATTATTCTATAGTGACAGTATGTAGAGCTTCATCATATAGTAGATGGCAGCAGACAGGTGATAAATACACACTCATCTTTTTGCAATGTATCATACACTTTGTGCATGCAGTGATACGCTCCATTAATAAAGGCACAAAATGACATTCACTTAGGCTACTCTGTTGCCTCGATCAATGAAAACAATGGTGGTTTAATAACAATGTAAGTTGTTTTAGATTGAACATTTTGTGGTCACAAGTATTCAAAATGTAGCCTCATAGTGTGAACCAGTTTAAGACAATACACTTAGAACACAGAGCCAGACCAGCTGCATTTTCCATCAGGCATATAAATAATAGATGATGCATTATGAGTTGTGAAATGATGCCTTATGAGGCCTTGACAGAGGTCCTGACAGAAGAAACTGGCACGAATTGTAAGTGACAGAGGTCTAGCTACTGTACCAGAAAACCAATGCAATAACACAGATTCACAAATCACATGGAGAGGAAAGGACAGAAGGAGAGCTGGAAGAAGAGATGGGGACAAAAATGGAAAGATAGCAAGGGGTGAGTATATCTGAAAAACACACTTGAAGCCTATCTGTGTGCATTTTCTGAAAATGTTGCTGGTGGTCATTTTCAATATCAAATCCTATTAGTCTGAGAGATCCTGTGAGCGTTGCAGCAGACTGCTGGAGCCCTCTCGAGCCTTGTGATGGAGCGAGAGAGGGGGGCTGCAGCACCATACTAGCCTTTTATCTGGATACACGGGGGTCACATAGCTTCTCTTTGAAGAAATATTCAACTAATTGCCTTGGAGAGTGGCCTCACAGGCAGAGAGCAGACTGTGGATTGTTGAGGCATTGTGAAGTGGTAAACTAAGGATGAGGATTTTCATCTTGCACAAAAAACACACATCCCAGAAAAATGGTTGGGCCATGGTTCCAACCTGTGAAAGATAAAGAGCCACATATCCTGAGAAGATGGAAGAATGACTACTAGAGAATGAAAAAAGCAAAAGATGGGTATAATACAACAGCAATCCAATGAGGGAAGCATATAAAAGAGTAACTGCACCTGCCACTCAAGAGAGTTTTGTTCATGGTCTATGCCATTGTTGGACAAACCTTGATACCAATTCTCTTAAAATCTAAAAACTAGGCTATCACTTTCACATGGCATACAGCGAACTCAACGCTGTGGGCACTCAGTTTATACCGTACCTCTGTCCTCATACGGCCCTCTAGCTAGGCAGACAAACAGCAGACAGACAGACAGACATGCAGATTCTCATGCTGGCAGTGTGCTTTGCCTGGCACATTCATTCATCTCCTCTTTTGGAGTGTGTAAGGCCTGGCAGCCTATCAGTGCCAGAACTCTAGAGGCAGTGCTTATCTCCTCTCATAGATCATGCCTTTGTGCTGCCTGCTCCTCTGCTAAGGAATGCCAGGTAAGGCTTTTGTGGTCCAGCACAGGCCTGGTACTGTATCCCCCCTCAACACCCTGAGGCAGGCAGGCCTGTGCCTTGGCACTGAGAGTCACACTGGGCTAATTCACTTGGCGCCGGGTAACAGACATCTGTCACTCAGGAGTCCCCTGGGGACACACAGACAAGGCCTGATATAGGGGTGGGCCAGGGGATGTGATGCACTGTGAAATGCATACAGGCAGACACATACTTACACACACCCGACTGTAAACAACATACACAGGGTGTGTTGTAGAATAATTAAAGAGCAAAAACCTTTGTTGTAACTGACTATGATATATGAACTTAATAATAACTAAAAGAACAACTTTTTTGAAGTCACTGTCTTTAAACAATAGATAGCAGTCTTCCATCCCAAATGAAAACCTCCTTGGGTGAGGTTTCTATAGCAACTGCCAGAGGGGCAGCACGGTTCTGGTGAGGCGGTGCTGTACATGCTGTCCGAGGAGAAGCAGGGCATTAGGGGAGATCAGGTTTCCCCCTCAAGGGGCCATCCTGACTCTGCTCCCCCATCTCACCCCCCAGCTCTGTGCTGCCAGCATTCACATGCTAATTCATTTCCATTGGTGATTACACTCCCTTTAAACCAACTGACAACTACAGCTGGAGTCAGGCTCTTAACGGCACACTGTTGGGATGGATGGGTGGAGGGATAAGAGCGAGTGTGTCTGCGTATGTACTTGTGTCTGTACGCACTTGTATGCATTTTTTGATGGCGCTCTTATTTTGGCTGTCCTTGTGCTCCATAAAATGGTAGTGACAGATGATGACACATTATCTGTGCTCCTACCCCAAATAGCCTCACACAACCTCCCATGCTGCTCCATCCTGTGAAACAGCCTCGGTCTAATAGCTGTATGTAAATCAGCCAGCCCATAAAGATCAGTGTCAGCACTCAGCTGTGTACGTTGGCTGACGTGACAAGCATGCCGCATGTCTCGATGAATTTACCCAAACGGGCTGCTAGGGGAGTTGGAAATCTAAGCTCACTGGTGTTACAGCATCTAATGAAATCATCATTTCTGAAACATTTCTCCATGTACGCTCATAACTTTAATGGTCTCAGCTGTTCGGGTAATCAGTGACTGATCTTTCCAAATCGCTGGATTCCTCTGATGAGCCAAGCCTGTATGGGATGGTGAACAGTAAATGAAGCAGAAGGAACAAGTAGTAAAGGATACAAGCTCTGGTAGAGAGTCAGCCGGGACTTGACAGCTCTGCTGGCATTGATACAGGTGGCCCGCACCAAGCTTGGTAGCAGCGCCCCAGTGATGATGGCGCCATTAAACAGTGGCCCAAAGGAAGGAACCTGAGAAAGAGAGGGGGAAAAAATAAAGAATAAGAAAAATATGTATTAAAACTTCTACACTGAATCAAAATTAATTTGGTCATTGTCCTGTGATTTACTTGTGTATAAAAATTCAAAAGTGTTGAATAAAAATAGTTTTGTTGCCATCTGTTTAAGGCAAGGGCTCCAGCTGAGACTGGATTCTTACCTATCTTAGCATAACAACCACACATATCTAATGTGAATCAATGTTACATAAATAAAATTAAAATGACAATCAATAGTAAACAATGCCTTCATATTGAGCTACTGAACAAATACAATGGGCTAATATGCATTTAAGCAGCAGCGTGCAAATGTGTGTGGGTACACGCGTCTGTTCATGCATATTGGAAGGGGGCCCTTAATCACTGAAGCTCAATGGTCGTTGACCTGGAAGTTGACGTGAATGTCAAAGTCTCTCGAAAAGGTCCCGCTGTCTTCAACGTGGCTGTTCAGCGAGTATAATAACCAGTCAAATTATACAATAAATGGATTTTAAACAGAAATGATACAAACCAATTCACTTAATCATATGCTAGAAACTAAATGGCATGTGACAGAAACGGACTCAGAAACCTTTATAGATTCTTGGAGGTGGAAACAGTTAAAACTGCAGAATTTTAGAAATATTTGCTGGGGCTGGGGTTGAGGGGCAGAACAATGGCAGCTTTTTGCCTTTCTTCCAGCTGTGTTTTGGCTGTAGAAACCTTCTCTTGGGTTGAAGCTAGAATATGTTTTATTATGTCTGTAGCTACTAAATATGTGCACATCAAAGTAAGTAAGTTGTTAAAATCTTCTGAAAAGAATACTGAAATGAAGGTACAAAGGTCCTCCTTTGGTATGTTAAATTTAATTGTCAGACATATTTTAAATAAAGTGCACAAACTATCTAAACAGTTTCTTACAGGGTTTTAATAAATCCAGTAAGCTTAAGTGTAAGCGTAACACTATGAGTGGAAGTGAAGCGAAAAATACATAGCTGCCAAATGAATACTGAGGAGACGCTGTAATACAGGCCTGTGAACAAATAACTGATTATATAACACTGGAAGCACTAATGGAACACAGTCATTTCTCCAGCAAGATTGTAGCATGTTTGGGGCCGATGTTATACTCTCACCTAATCCTAATAAAGCTAAGTTGAGACTCAATTGTTTCTGGCATCATCTTAAAAAGAACTTTCTCCAAAGGTAATCACTGCTTTAATGGGGGAGGAATACCAAAAACATTCTATTACTGAATCAGTTTTTCATATGCATACTGTTATGAAGGAATAATGGAAAGTACTATGGCTCTAAACATCTGAAGCCAGTCCTCTCAGATGAAGAAATTTCACTATCCACTAAAGGCCACACATTGAGTGCAGTACTGTGGAGTGTCCAAGATGAAAGCCAGCCAAGAAAGGCTAGTTAACCATCTCTGAAAGCCCATACCCACAGTGTGGGTAATAATGTACTGCTGGAGTAGGAGCCTTCACACAGAAACCACAACAGGAGAAAGAACCTATAAAAGTCAGAAAGCAAGAGGAAGGACCTTTAACTCATAAACAGAAATTAGTGTAGTGCTAAAAATAGCCCACATGGTCTTGTTGCTTTCTTGCTTATTGTGCCTGGAAAATAGGACGTTGTCATCTTAGTATTAAAATAATAAAAAAAAAGAAAAAAAAAGCCTCTAAACAAAGTAAAATGTTTGACATGCAATGACATTAAATTCTCACATGCAATGTGTTGATCCATGTTGTAGCCCATGCGTATTGTTGACAGTGGTCACTGACTGCAGTGGCTTACCTGTGGTTTCTTCATGATCTGGATGAAATGCATGTGGTTCTTCATCGGGTAGATGATAATCAGCACATCTCCGAAATCAGTTGAGATGATGCCACGTCGGTAGTCCCTGCTGTGCTCTGACCATACTATGTGCACCTCGTCATTTCCCAGGTGACGAAGCTGCCAAGCAAACAAAATTAGTCCAATCAAGTGCCTCGTGAGTGCAGGAAAATTGTATGGTTTTATGATGATGATGATGGCAAGACAAATTAAGTGACATTAGGGTTAGGTCACTGGGTTTATCTGGGTCGGCACCTTAGGTCCACTTTACATCCACAAGGCAGGGGAATGAATGGAGTGGATTATTGATAATAAGATCTAATTACTGCTGACAGGTCAGTATAGAGGCTCCATAAATAAAGTGATATCACCAGCTTTTAAGACTGCATACGGCAATATTTTACCAAATGATTTATTTAATTATAAGAAATAAAAGTCGCTTTCGGCTTTTCCCATTTTAGGGGTCACCACAGCGAATCGTCACACTGACGACTCGCATGTTGACATTTGGCACGTGTTTTACGCCGCATGCCCTTCCTGACGCAACCCTGATTCGAACCTGGGCTGCAGCGGGCAGAGCGCTGCACCTTAACCACTAGCCTACCAGGGACGGCATTTATTTAATTATAAGAACTGTTGTAAAAGGTGTATCACTAAGATAATGACAATGAAAAAACACGATCAGCCCAGCTTGTATAACTGGGTGCTGAATCCTCAAAAATGCAGTGTGAGAATTAACAATTAACAGGATAAGGGCAAGGTGGTGCTGCCGATGGCAGCCTCAGTTGAGCTCTCTCTAGTGTGGTTGTTTCTGCAGACTCCTCACACCCTGGACACAAACAGTTTGAACTCCTCCCCTATGGACGGTGCTACAGGTCACTGTACGCCAAAACAACCAGGCACAAGGACGGTTTCTTCTGCTGCGTCCTCACTCTGATGAACAGTTAACCCATGATTGTATGACAGGAGACAGCAATCACCACAGTGCAATAAACTGTACATATGGCCACTGTACATATCCATCTTGTAGCTGTTCTGTCTAATGTATATACATTAGATTGTATTTTTCTCCTATTCTTTCTTCTACTGATTACACACATTTTTCTTACTTTTTATTGTTGTCTTATAAAGCACACAGAGCCCCTATACCAGAGTCAAATTCCTCGTGCGTCTAATCATGCGTGCCAATAAAGATTCTGATCAGAATTAACAGTGAATTTCTAGGGGTACTCAGTATCCCTAAGATCAAACATAAATGCAGCAGGTGTAGGAGTAAGGTGGCAGCTTATGGCTAAATCACAAACTCGAAAACATTGGTTTAAATAGGGCTCTGGTTTGAACTCTTTTTATAGCTTTTTTTCATTACAAATTCAAATTGCAAACACAAAATGCACAAAATTGAGCATTTTAAAACCAAATAATTCAAATCCAATTAACCTTCTCCATCAGAGTTTAAATTGCTTCCCATTTCCACTCTATTCACAATCACAAATAAAACTGGGCAGGACAAGGAGAAACACTTAAATGACAGGAAATTGACTGATGCTAGTTTGAAAAAGGTAAACAGCTTTCACCTTTCCAAGGCCAAATAGATGGACACAGGTACATTATATTGCAGATCACTTATCAGCTGGTTGTCCAGTGATGTTGAATCAAGCTGTGCTCCTCCTTTCTGGAGTATCATGGACAATGAAAAGTGAGCTCCTACTCAGAAGAAAACATCTGCCAATGTACTGTGGGCCTAATGAGCCATTAGGAAACATGCCCTTGCCACCAAAAATGCAATTAGTACATTCTATTATAAGCCCTTAATTATGCTAATATGGTAATCTTAAACAAATCCACGGTATGCTGATTACTGGAGCTCGCCAGTTCAGTCTGTCTGTCCAAGGATCAGCAGGTACTAACCAGGTCAGTCACTAGGACAATTTCAGAGAAAATGTTGAATATGCATTTGCAGGAGACAATCAACACTGGGATGTTAATTTGGGTTAAGATATTAGCATTTGGATGAGCTGAATCACAAGTTTAATGAGGATGCTTATGCTCTAGTCAATCATCTTCTGCAGCAATCTATTTACTCCCTTATTAATCACACCCAAATGTTTGAGACTTCTTTAATAAAATGTGATTCGAGTCAAAGGCTCTTGTCCAATTATCCCTCTTTGACCTCCCACCCAGCCAATGGGCTTCACACACATGGAGGCAGCAGAGCAGAGGACCCCAGAACAAAAGACGCTCCAGATAAAAACAATCTGCAGCCGCTCAGTTAAGCTGTGGTGCCTCGGGTTAAGTGTGATAGCTAAGGCACTTGTCTATCTCCTTCTCTTTCACACACACATACACACACAGTCTACATGGCCTGACCCCAACCCTGCAGGTCGTTTCTATAACCGCATTACTGAAGCCAGCTGCTACTACTGCAGCCTGCACTGCCCTAAAGCCCACAATTGGACTGAGGAATTCATGGTTTTCCCTTTTTTCTTTTAGGTTTAGCCCCCTCCCCCCGTGCCTCTATGGTGACAGGCAGTAAGTGGGTGACTGTTAGACTATAAGTGTTATTTTTAAATTGACAGGGAAAACATCCTACTTGGACACAGACAAAGCCTATTTCTCATTCCAATTCTTCATGCCACTTTCTTTTCCTCCCCTCATCTTTTTCTGAAGCATCTGCCCATGCAGCCAGCCTGCCAATTTCTACTGGGCTTGTGGCTGGTGTGGAGATCTGTGCAAGACGAACAGGAGCAATTACAGAAGTTCCCTGTGAAATGAATGGAAGTGGAGAGGCAACAGACTCCACTCTGGGCATGGCTGCCCCTCCAGCGCCACGTTCTGGTCAGCCAAAGTCCAAATCTTTATTCGGTCTAATTTTTGCAGTCACTAAGCACAGGTTCAGGATGGGTTTGGAGTGGGCAGGAGGTTATTTGTGAAACGTAGAAGGAGAGGTCTGTGGAGCACTGGAGGGGGTCTGGATATGAAGAGAGACTGATGTATTTCCCTTCTCAGCAGGATACTGTATGAGAAGATTGGCAGCACGGGCAGGGGCCTTGTGGCTCATTTCTTCGTGCTAACTGCTACTGGTGCACTACAACTCAGAATCCTACTGCAGAATCCAATCGATCAGGGAGAGCTAATGGCTGAATCCAGGCCCTGGTCACAGCACACAGGGAGGGGGGCAGGGGCTAGCAGAATCATAGTCATTACCACAGCGGCACATGCCCTCTCACTCACGCGCCTGCAATTCTCTACTCCTCAGGCCTGCCTAGCCAGGGTCACTAATCAATGCCCGCACTCTGGAATCACACCTCCTGATCACAGCTTAACACAGAGCCGAAGGCTACAAGAACATAGTGCTCTGGGCAGGAAGGACTATGTAGCTATGTCACTGCATCAGACAGGCAAAACAGTAATTTCTCCCCTTTCTTAACACACTCTGATCTGTAGGTGTGCATTCAATACATTACATATTAACATAATCCAAATGTCATGGACAGGCAGGAACTATCAAAATGTATCATCTCAGATTGGAAACATCAAGAACATAAACATGACCTTTTACCTTTTTGGTGAGGCAGTCATCAGAATCAGATGGCATACGCGTGGAAACGTGGAAGATGGCTTCCACAGTGGAGGTAGCATAGTAAGGAGCTGTTAGACCTGTGCTGCCATTCCTCTGGAGGCCACCCATAAAGCCACAGTGTGTGGCCAGGTCCACCTGAAGGATACATGCTCAGATTAGTGTTCAAAGTGTGCCTGTACATCAGTATGTGCACATTTGGCCTGTATCTGTGGACACAGAGGCTGTGTTGATTTGAAGATGTGGTTGTGTGTACCTCCCATCCCAGTCCAGACACAAAATCTTCGTAGGCCTGACTGCCGGCACTGTTGGACAAGATGGAACACTTGTCTTCTTGGCCCTCTCCAATGTAGAACACAGCAATCTTGTGCGTCTCTCGACTATAGAACAAAACATACAATATCCAATATTATTGGCACATTTTACAAACAGAACAGAACTTGAAAAGCTTCTCACTGCTCCAGCCACTTGACAGTAAAAATGCTTTGAAGTGTGAATGCAATGACTCAAAAAACCAAACCCTGCTTATCAAGGTAAAGTGTGTGTTTAAGTGTAATTGAGTGGTTGAATAAAATCAGGAGAGCAGAATGTGAAAGTTTGTGTGCAAAATTTTTCCACTATATCTACAGCTCTAGCATGATTTAAAAAGAATGACCTCAAAGCCCCCCCCTTACTTTCCCTGTTGCCATGGCAGTACATCGTACTGGAGTAGTACTTTGCATGCTTGTGCACAGGTTGTTATTGCCCAACCAAGTCTGGCCATCTGGGAGAAGGAGGTCCAATCCTGAGGGCATTCTTTAATAAGCTTCTTTCATTAGCAATGTGTGGAGTACTTATTGATTGGGCTAAGACAGATGCAGTAAGAGGAGGACAGTAAGAGTCTATGAAAGACTTCCATGATTGTGATTAGCAGGAGATGGTACAGATTTGTAAAATCATAGGGGAGGAAGCAGTATGATACTGTTTTGAGTAACAAGTGTTCATTTTCCATGTGTATAGACAGGTTTAAAACAGGGCTGCAGTGGCCGTTAGATTAACTGAGCACACTAAAATGTAAGAACTTATTTGTGTTCACTGGTATCTAATTTCAGCCGGGTACATTATGAAATCAATTTTCTGATTCAGCTTTTGAAAAACATTACCACTGCCTGGAATCCAAGTTCTTCAGTTCCCTTAAGAGCTTTGAATTTTTCTTCAGTAAATGGAAACTTTTCCTGGTTGACAAAGACAGCCTTGATTAGACATGGCATCTCAGTTGTATACAGTATATACACATTTTAATTCAGGAAACTACCATTTAAACGGTGCTTTCAACTTAGTTTTTTGGGCACTCAAGAATAATATAGCAAAAAAGGCACACGTACAAACAGAAATCTCCTACTAGCTATGTGCATACTGCACCATCACCATTAAGAGGTGTAAGCTTTTAATTTACGGGGCAGCACTGTAAAGATGTGGCTCTGCAAGGTAGTCCTTAGTGAAGACAGCTGGGCACTTTTACCCTGTGGAGAGTAGATTAGCACACTGCAGACTCCAGTGTGGTTTTAACTTTGATCTCTCTCTCTTTGAGTAATGAACCAACATCTGAGAGACTTTAAAAACAAAGGAAGTAATTCTAGTACAAAAATGGTATTAGAATGCAAAGGTAATACTCAGTTTTGTGTTTTAATATTTTTTTCTTTCTAACTGGTTACATTTAAGATGCATTTTTTTTAGACTGAATGATAAAGAACTACACTGAAAGAAAGAAAGCAGCAGACTCCTATATGACTTCTTACAACCCCAACTCTGTTTTCCTCTTTTTTCCTCTAGTACAGTGCAAACCAGAATAGTGGTCATAGCCAATTTCAGGTGGTAGGATACCTTCGGTCCCAGGAGTTCATGCCAAGGTCATTAAGCAGCAGCCGGCAGAAGTAGAAAGGAGCTTTTGGTTCTTGGTAGGAGGGTTCTCTCTGGCTAGCAGCCCGAAAGCTTACATCAGTATCCCACTTCCTCACTTGCTCCTCCTCCTGCTCATTCTGATGAAGGATGGCCTTCAAGATGGCGTTCTCTTGCTCTAAGTTCATGCCATGGGGTGAGGGGGCTGGCTGGTTGAGTTTGAGCTGTGGCTGAGGCAGGCACTCTGGGCTGCTGTGGCCAAGGTCCTCCAACAGCTTATTAAGAGCATCTACCTCCTCCTCCTCCTCCTCACAAAGGTCAGAGAGAGGGTCTGAGATTGAGCTGTGATGTTCGTACAGTCCCTTTGCTGAAGAGGAGGGTTGATTTCTACTGGGAGTGACTGTAGAAAGAGGAAGATCCACAGCACTAAAACCTCCCACATCAACAGAGTCTTCCTGGGTGGTGCAGTAGAGGACTGCGCCGTCCCATGAGTATTTGCCTGAGATGTCACGCACTATGACTCGCACTTGGGAAGAAAGGAGAGAGGGCTGTCCTGCTGTGGGGGTTGCGACGGGGATCTGCAGGTAGGACACCAGTGTGCTCTCATTAAAGACAAAAAGCTGCAGATTTGGGCTTTTAAAGACCTCTGAGGACAGCTCAGATGACTCCACGTATGGGTTGTCATGATTTTCGCTCACAAGGCTGTGTAGAAGAGCAGGGCCACCATTCAGTGGATGATGACCCAGATGGTTCACCAGGTGAGTCATGATCATCCGTGCTGTCAGAGGTATCAGCTCCATGTTCTGACGTCGCTTTTCTGGTGGAAGATTGAGGACAAGAGGATGAAAATACCAAAATCATCTCTGAAGAAAAATACACGTAATAATGTGAACAATCTAATGACTGATGCAAGTTACTGATGGGCTTAGAATAAAGCAGCACATCTTTTATAATATGTCCAATACAGTCCTAGCTAACCATATTTCAAAAGCCCCACATTTGTGTGTAGACATGCTATCATCCCTGTTAGCTCTCTTTACACAAAACCAAATCTCATTTATGATTACTAATAGGGGTACTTTATTAGTTTCTCACAATAGCTTGGCCAGCACACCTCTAAGTAGGTAGGACCTAATCATGAGAGAGAACTTTGAAAAGCCCATTGAGTCTTCTTACAATGGACCAGTGCTGAAACTGGCCGAGTGCTAATGAGAACCAGCGTCTTTAGAGGATGGTGAATAGGACTCTACTTAGTGAATTACATTTATGTAAATGTACAGGTTTTCACTCCCAAGTGAAAGGCATGCTGTGCTTTATTCTGCAGTGATGTGAGAAAACAAGAAAATGCACTTTTGCATTGTGACAGTGCTATCAATACCATCAGCCCCCATCAAAGTGGAGAGAGCTTTTTAGAAAGCAGGCCAAGCTGTATTAGAGATGTGCAGGTCCTTTGATGTGACTTGATCAATATGAGGTGGGGGCATGAATATAACTAGGCCGGCACTCTTTGGTTTGCCCTTTTGATAGTGTTTTGTTATTTCTACTAAGGCTCAGAGTAGCTGTGTCCCATAAACCAGAAGTGTGGTGAAATTTTCCAGGAAAAAGCTACTGTTCAAATTTCTTACATTGTTTCAGTAGACATATGCACTGTGCATTTGGGCTTAAAGGACTTTTTAGAAGTTCAGGACATGGGAGAGAGAGAGAGAGAGAGAGAGGAATACATTGCCTAATGGAATCACAAGGTCATAGAAAAGAAAAAAAAAAAATCACATTTCTATCTAAACCCCATAATGGGTCTTCTCTCTAGGGCTGAGCACTAATGTGAACATTCCATTCCCTGTGATGGTTGATTTCCTTTTCATACTTTTAATAAGATACTGACATTTAATGGAGAGGTTCCAAATGGATGGTCTATTTAGAGTTTGCTTTTTACTGTAATCTTTGATTTTTTGTTGTTGTTTGGGGGGGGGGGGGGGGATATATGTCTCCGTTGTCTGTAATAAGTACAGTATGGCGCTGAAATGTAGTGTGTAAAGCATGTTTGGAGATAGTCATCTGGGGATAAGGTGTGTTGTGACAGCTGACGCTAACTACTGACAACCAGTCTTTTGTGCATGTGTACCCATGAATATATACAGCCACTCATTAAATTCAGGGTAATCATTTTATCTGCCAGCCAAACATCACTTTATAAACAGCAGGGAGTAAAAAAAGGCATCGATATGGCTTCTGTTCTCCCACTGTGGATGCAGAGATGCCACGCCTATGTGGCCTTACCTTCAGCTACAGTGAGCAGGTTGCCAAAATCGGTAGCGGTAGTCTGAGATTGTGGCGGCTCAAAATTCTTAACCTGACCCAACATGAGGTCATAGTCAGTTGACAAGTCTGACAGGCTGAGGAGGTAGTGGCTCTGTTGGGTGTGCAGGTTGGAGCCAGACACACAGCAGTGCAGCACCTTAAGAACAGGAAGAAAAAAAAAAGGGTAGGACGTGGTGATTATGTCCAGATGAAGTGTGTCTGGCTACTAATTCTATAGCATGACAGTGAGAGGCACTTTGATGACTGAACATCAACTGTGATGTGCAAAGACATTGTCCTGTTAGATATGATGGTGTCTGGTAAGAGGATGTGCTGTGATGCTCCAGAAGGCCTGTTCTAGATTGACATGATCCAGCAGCATATGAAAGGGGGTAATGTATAGCCCATTTACATCATAAGGCAATGGTGGGAGCGAGGGAAAGAAAAGAAGGTCTTTATTGCCACTAATCCATTTCTCCTGTGATGTGTGAGTGTATCGATCTACATAACAGATGGCAGAGCATCCGTTGGCAGGGCTAGATAAGGCACAGCGGGGCAGTTGATTACAACCATTGGACAGGTTTACACTGTTTGATTTAATTAAGACTTTATCCTTGTGCTCAGCTCTTACCACAAGCATGCCTGCTCAGTCACACATACACGTGCACACACAAAAACATACACACCTGTATAATCTGAGTGGAGGAAAGGTGCTGCATATGAGGGGATAAAACATATGCCCAATGTATGTAAATGAGGGGGGCCCTCTTATCCACAGTGGAGCAACTTGGGTAAAGCCATACAAAGGCTAATCCCATTCAGTACACACATGCGCTCACACTTGGCTGAGAGAACCTCAGAGAGGCAGGCTGGCCCAGCCATCTGAAACAGTATTGTGTGGTGCAATGTAGACAGTATGTGGATGATTCTACAGAGCAGACCTCTGGGTGCATGGGGGAGGGACTGGAGGCTTGATGCTGAAAAGACCTGAATCAAACAGCTGCTACACCAAACCCCTAAACAGCTTCCTCTGTGGAGAGATGGAAAGATAGAAAGGGAGGGGGAAAACCCACGGCTGTGCTTGACAACTAAGTGACTGCACTTCACATAGCAACAGTTCCTGGAAGGTAACACACAGTGAAACAAGCATAGTACAGGTTAGAGGAGCATATATTGTATGGATACAAGAGCATGCCTATGTACACACATAAATCAAATAATAACCAAGCAAACAGAGACATATGGGAGTGCACAAATGTACCTGTCTTTGCTCTCCCACACACACACACACACACACACACACACACACACACACACACACACACAGAAGAGAGGTGCAGCTGGCTGCTGGGGCAGGCTGAGAGCAGATGGAGAAGCTTGAGCAGAATTCCATTTTGCCAAAGAGGTCTAGTGCAGTGTTGCTTTTCACAGCAATCTGTATGCCGTCAGTCAACAGAAAAAACTTTTCTCACTTTTCTCTTCGTCTCAGTATGAAGAGTGTGACAATATAATATGTTATATATAATGTAAATATAATGTGCTAGAGTTTGGTGGCTTGGGAAAGAACCGATTTTAGGCTTTAGGAAGGTAAAGCATGAAAAATAAATGGATGCTCAGCTACTCTGTCAGTGTCACATTCTGCCAGTGATGTTTTCTACAAGGGAAGCTATTCTCTGCTTGGTATAGAGAATAATTAGCAGCAAGTGTATCTGTGCAAATGTATAGATTTTGGTCTTGATAGTGCACAAATACTGTCACTTTCTGTGATCTGCTTAATATATCATATCCAATAAAACCCAGGGGGGATGCGCCTTTTATGTGCTGATAGACAACCAATCACGCCTAATTGTCTTTGCTTTCAAAGCAGCTGCAGTCGCTCTCATATTAAGACATATTCCATTCAAATCTCCAGGACAAGCATTTATAGCCTGAGCTTATCAAGTGGACAAAGGGTCCCGTTTGAATAATTGGACCATTTCTTATCAGGGGTGACATTCTTACAATGATCTGCCGTTGACCGCATCTGCCCAGACAGGAGGGAATGAATAATATACCTCATTCATTTGTGCCTGAAGCTTGGCCCTCATTCTCAGGGTCAGACAATAAAATAAAGGGTTAAAGGGACAAATACAGAGAAACATGGAATACTTGATATTTGCCTGTTTTAATAAAAAACTGAATTGTAAGGGTTTCCTGCATATAAAAAAATGTCCCCTGTATGTATTAGCTATAGCATGCACTTCTACAGTATGCTGCTGTGCCACTGTAATGTTAAATGAGGCATAGTCATGAGGTCACAGAGGAGGTGAGCCTAATTAATGTGGCAAACCCATGTGTTAAGGTCAAGGTGGAGATGTCTTCGGGAGAGGCCTAAGCAGTCAGTGTCAAAGTGGCTTCCTTCAAGTCTGTTTGTTGGATGTAACTGAAACTCTCAGCTGCTGGTGAGGCTACTCACCCTGTAGATGTAGCCCAGGAGTGGAGCCTTGTGGGATGTGTATTCCTCCATGGAAGGCATGGTGATGGGTTCCAGCAGCAGACTCAAGGGTACAGCCATGCACCAGTCCAACAGGCAAAGCAGCAGCGACACCATTAACTGAGCAAGTAAGGAAAAAAAACAGAGGTTCCTTGTTAAGTTTGGTCAACAAACATCAAAACAAACAAATAAGAAAAACTTGTAGTAATATGGCAGTGAAAGAAAGGGAATGTTTCAGAGCAACAACAGGTAATAGATAAGAGCTGCAAAGAGAAAATACAGAGACTGAGCCATGTAAAGAAGAAAAGAAAAGAGAATAAATCACAGCAGTTGAAACATTCCTCTGCAAATGCACCATTCCAACATCATAGATCAAGGGCCTTTAGATCTCAGCCATTTCATGTACCCTCCTTTCCAACATGTACCTTTTTGTCTGCTTCCACTGTTGAGTGCTCTGCGCTTGGCAACAAAAAGGCTATTGTGGCCACAAAGATCTGTTGGGACAAAACAAGGACAGAGATAACTGGATGGCACACTCCTGTTCATCAGCTAAGGTCAGGGTTGGGTGCTAAAATAAATGGGAAACCACAGAATGTAAAGTACCCATATGTATGAGTAAGACATCCATTTAAAAGCTAAGGCAATTTCACAGGAATTGCTCATCTTACTTAAAATAAGCTCACAAATGGCTATTGGAAATGTAGCAGAGTTTAACCGTGTGCATCTTACCTCAATGATTTTCTTAGGCAGAGCAGGTTCTACCTTCTGGAGATGCTCCCAGTGAGAGATGAGCATCTGAAACACGTCACAGGCCACTTGAGCCACTGCTTTGTTCCCAAACTGGACAGACAAAGAACAGGATTTTGTTCCCTCAGCAACAAAAGAAAAAAACTGAGACATTAAGTCAGTATTTTCTATTATACATGTACATTAATAGGGCAAGAACATTTTTCTGTTTAACTGCCTGAACACTGTTGCTGTGTTTGCACATTCACTTTGCAAGCTCATGCTAACTGGCTGACTGAACATACCACATAAGTAAGTGAACATATCAACTTTGTGTCACTGACCATGATCAGATTAGCTTTTTATGCTTGTTTCTCTAATAATATGATTGTACTGAAAGCCGTTCTTCCTAGATCCAAATGAAAATGGCCAAGTTGCTTGGAGAAATTGAAAGCTCTGAAACAAATTATTATTTCCATTCAGCAATGCCTGTGCTTACAAGCAAGGAGATAATACAGTAGGAAAGCATGAAAAACATACATCATGTGCCTATTAAAAACACCAAGTGCAAAAACATACACACACAACAAAAATAGTTTCAGCATATACTAGAGCTTTCAAACTTTAAGCTGCTCAAATGGCTGAATGCTCAGCTAATTACTTAGGACACAAATGCAACAATATATTGACACGATACACACACCAAGCTACACAATGCCTGTTATGCTGACTCACTGTAGCTTTAACAGCTAACTGTAAAAAAAAAAATATTACTCAGTTTGATGCTGTATTTATAGTCAAGACAAAAACCTAGATTGACATGTTTTAAAACCTGACACAGCATCATATGTGTGTGCGCCAAGCACACAAATTACATAAATGCTTAACAGTTTCTAGACTGTGATGTGTGTTCTTGAGGCAGAACATTTCCTAATCTAAAATATGATAGATTTCACTTAGCTTAATACTTGCATTACCAAATCATTCCATGAGTATAACTTCATCGTTGTAATGTCTTCAATATTAATTTGCAAGGTAGAAATCAAAACACACAACTAAGAACCACTGAATGAGTTGGTGTGCCTAAATTTCTGACTGGTACTATGAATTCTAAAATGTCACAAGGACATTGCTGGCTGAAGATGGGTCTGGAAAAGTTGAGGCACATATTGGCTGTGATAAAATTTCCCTTAAATTTAGCTTTTCAATTACTCTTCAGATAATCAGCATAATTTCATTTCCACTTCAAACCAAGGCTCATTTACTGCAGACTCACTGGGGGAAAGAATTGAGCTGTTGACAATTTTCTTTCGAATGTGGATTTCTTCCGTGATTTGAAATTCTTTGTGGAGAAATAGAATTGCCCATTTCTTCCAGCTGAATGTCTCTCAACATGTAACAAGGGCAGACAATGTGGGGAGTGCAGAAATGGCCAAACACAAAAAGGGGCCCTGAGAGTTCAGCACCTGCTTTTAGAAAAGAGACTCTCAGTGCCACTCTTCCCCCTAGATCCCCCACCCAGCCTATACCCTCTATTTTGGGGCTGGCTGAGTCTGTGTGTCAAGTTGTACAGGGGAGTGATTACTGCTCCATTAGAGAAGGGGAGGGGGGATGCTTGAGCAGGAAGCAGGGAGATGTAGCGGCTTAAATTGGCCCACATCTACTGAGAGCGAGCAGCCTGGAAATTACGCCATCGCCCCAAACCCTTTTCCATGAGGCCGGAGGAAAAAAAAAACGCAGCCCCCAGTGGTTCTCTGCATCTCTTCACTCAGGGAGAAAAGAGGGCTCTTCCAAAATATACCTATGAGTCACATCACTGGACATGTTTCATTCTCACACTTTTTCTGTCCCTGCTAGGCTGAAATTGTTCTGCAGTTGTTTTGTGTAATCAACTATCATTTTTGTTGGAGCTAAACACTATAGGGTGTAAGATAGAAAAAAGATGAAATCCAGCCACTTCGAGTGTTTTATCAAGTATTGTATCAGCACGACCCAAGATGAGAGTGTTTTTAAAAAGTGAAGCCGTATTTTCTAAATCATACTACAGACATGAGTTGTTAGGAATCAAAACATACATGTTTATAATGTACAATGAGTCTAAGCATCCTTGCCTCCAAGGTTCACTGACCTTTAGTGTAACTCCCAAGACATTGATGGCATCTTTAACCTGGTGGTGGATGCTCTTTTGCATTAGCTCGTCACATAACCACAGCCCGAGACTGCACACAGCAATGCATCTGAATGACACAAACAGAGTCCAAATACATGTAACTTTAGGAACTGAATAGTACAAAATATAAAATATATTCAGAAAACAATTCTAATATTAAACTTGAGGACAAAACTATTATTTTTGGTAAATAGGGTTCAAAAGCACTGCAAAGATAGTATCCATTAGCTCTTTAAATTGTATTATGCATGCGCAAATGTAGATAAAACACATTCATATCAAATATTAATTGAAAAAAAGACGACCATATGACCTAAGAAAATACATGCATCACCAGTACAGCTGTTCATACTGTTAGGTATTTTTAGTCAGAAAGATATTGGTTAGATACTTTATGTATTAGAAATGTTTAGTGGAGATAGGATGTCTAGTTAGACTGTTAAATGCTTAGTCATGCTTATGAGTTTCTACAGGGTACATCTGGTCAAGGATAACTAGAGAGAAGAGTTGATGACTGTCAGCAGACAGGATGTTTAATATTATTATTATGATGTGTATACCTGTAGCCTTAGCCATAATATGTTCTTATGTTTAATATCATGACATGTTACTAGAAGTCTGTGAGAATGTTTTTAGTTACACACCACTTAACCAACAGACACACACACACATTGATTTGCTTCATGTTTTGACTACTGCTATGACCAGCTGCAAAGCTGGTAACAGAGACGTCTCGGTTGACGTTTCTGTGTAGTATGGGGCTAGCCCAACCGAGGGGATATAATGTATAGGCCTGGTGGGTTCAGGGTCTTTCATCTTACATCTGCCTGTGAGCAGTTTGGAGGTGCAAGATACCTGAGCGTGTAATGTTAATTTTACCTGTGATCCTTTGAATAAATCAGCACTGTTTTGAAGTTACTTGGACTGTCTCGTCTCTCAGAGTTAGCAATGGTAAAAAGTACCGGGTACAACAATACCTTGCACCTTCACAGTGTTCCTTGGTAGCAGTTTCCAAAAGAATGTTGATCAGATAATCCTGAAAAGACAATACAACAGACTCACTACATGCTCTCAGATGACAATATAGTGCATTCACATTATTTAAGGTTTGGAAAAATATGATACCATTATTTGTAACTTAAGACTGAATGAATTATATGACCATAATGTTCACATTTTAGGAAAAATGTGTAAAACTCTAATAATAGCTTAGGAATGACTGACTTTTCTTCATATTACAAATGACAATGGAACAGACGGGTTTCCTGTGGACAACCATCCGAGGATGTGCACACATCAAGGTGGTAGAAGTGTTGTAGTGCACTATTATGTTTGCTTATCTTTTGAAGATTTTCATCTTTTTAAAATATTAACTGGTTGAACAAAGCCATTATTTCCCTTTAGTAACAGACCATGTATGGTCTTTCACTGAAGTGCTGTTACGTCAGTTGCAACACTGCGAACAGTCTACATAAAACACACAGAAAATTTATTCATATTTCTTTCCCACTTTTACAACACTTAGAGTCGATATATGTAGATAATATAGTTGTAATGTAACAACATGATTAATTTATTCACAGTTTTGAGCATAAGGCGTTAGCTACCAGGCTGCAGTTACCCTCAGTTCTATAGCTTTTTAGCATTGTTAGCTAACAATCACCTGAACTGTGTAGTAGAGCTGTAACCCGTCTCTTATAACACGTTGGAAATCAGAGCGCTTTGATAAATAAAATGCTCTGTACCATATTTAGTCAATACCTGATGCGATTTGTCTGTTTCTGACTCAGTTTACACAAATAGCTAATAAATGTGAAAAAAATATTACTTTTTAAACAGTTGACCATCTAGCAGCACCTAACTTTGCAGACAGCACACAGGGCTCAGGACCACAGCTCCCAGTGAGTCCAGGTCAAACACCAGCCAAGTTTGACAGTGTTGGTAGTCAGAAGGAAGCCCAAGATTATTTAGCAGGGTTATGCTGTAAATCTAGGCTAACAAGCATATATACCGCATTTCCCTTTTGTTCTACGGAGCTTTTCGGCATCTTTTCAATAAGGCTTTGAGGAATAATGAGCAAATGTTAGGTAGAAACTGTTAGGTATTTTTAGTCAGATAGATATTGGATAGATACTTTATGTATTAGAAATGTTTAGTGGAGATAGGATGTCTAGTTAGACTGTTAAATGCTTAGTCATGCTTATGAGTTTCTACAGGGTACAAGATACCTGAGCGTGTAATGTTAATTTTATCTGTGTTCATGGAATAAATCAGCACTGTTTTGAAGTTACTTGGACGGTCTCGTCTCTCAGAGTTAGCAATGGTAAGAAGAACCACAGTCAACAGAAATTAAATATGCACTACACAAGCCAGAAGGGCCCTGGTCTCTTTTTAATACTTACTCCACAATGTTTTCATTTTCTATTAGAAGGGATGTTTTGCCTTTGGGATGCTATCATTTTCCAGCCATCCTTCGAGCAATTTGAGCAGTTTACTGCACAACAAGTCCTTGTTACTTTCCAACATAGTCTCAGTTATTCCCTTTTTGTTTTATAACACCATAATGTGTGCACATCTCGTTGATGGCGTTGTTATTCTGTTCCCAGTATGGCACATAATTACTTACTTTGATATCCTCATTGCCTACAATGATGTTGTCAGAGTCAGGCACATGCTGAAGTATAGGAATCTGGAGGTAAAGGTTGGGAAAACACACAAGGGAGCCTAGGACTGTCTGAGCCTCCACCCTCGGAGCCTGGAAGCAGTGATAAACAAACAAGCTATCATTAATTCCCTCAAGTTACATGAAAACACCAAACATCCAGGGAACAGGAAGCATGGGGAAACAGGATTGAAAAGATCCAGCAGAATTAATTTTGTCCTTAATCGTGAATCAGCTGGTCTTCAACAAAGCCTTTCTGACACGTGGTAAGACACCAAAATTACATGTTGTTGCACCTGATGAGCTGTAGTTAATTAGAAAACAGATATGCAACTACTTGGCAGTAAGAAACAACACATTCAAATACCACAAAGTACCATACTGTTCAAAGAACTTAGGGACCCTAAACACAAGAGGCATACAGTATAAACTCTTAAAATGTGTTACTCTTGTGCTTCAAATGAAACACTTGCTAATCACAGGTAAATTAACAAACCTAACAGCTGTAATTAACTTTTCTTTTCTTCCAAACTACAGTTGCAGGCTTTTGATTCAAATATTTACAATTCTAAATCAAACTAAGTTATAAGCAATAGGTACAGAACAATGTGAAACTGAAGGCAGTTTTCTGCCAGTTGTGCAATAAATGTGTGCAGTTCCTAAAGATGGAGGAATAATCATAATTAATAATTCTATGGTTTTTGTTTCAGCTATAGCTGCTAAGCCCTACATTAAAGTACAATGAAACCAGAACCCAGAGGTGGTAATGCCTTCCACACCTGAAGATCTCATTCTTCACTTTCTTGCAAGACAACTTTTTTTTAAAACTGTTATTTTCTCTCTCAACATCTCTTCTATTACTAAAGAAGTCACAATTAATTTCATTTTTTTCAATATGACTAATAGTCTCTAATTTTTCTAGTCCTTGAAAACATTTTTATATTCCAGATTGATTCCCATAATAAATCTTAATGTTAAAAGTGTGTCTGTACCTCGGAGGAGTCCGAGCTGAGAACGGAGGCAGCAGCAGTGATGAAATCGCCAATCAGCATGGTGAAGCCTGGCAGGCCAAGGAAGAAGAACCGAGGGGAGCAGGAGCGGACGATGGTGTTCAAAACATCCTGATGACAAGCATGCAGACAGACACATATATAAATGGTAGTAGAAGGCAAGCCACATCCACAATATTTTTCTGCTATTATTATCAACAACTGATTGAACTTGATATTGGAACAATCATTCAGTTGTACTGAAACTCAGTCTAACATTTCAACAATGTGTTTATAGCTGCAGTGGGTTTAGAATACTTCATGTCTTGCAGACTTCATTATGCTGTAGATTCAAATTTAAACGGTTAATATTGCCATTTTTTTTCCATTGTAGGATTGTGGCTCTTGTTACCATTGCTAACTCTGAGAGACGAGACAGTCCAAGTAACTACAAAACAGTGCTGATTTATTCAAAGGATCACAGGTAAAATTAACATTACACGCTCAGGTATCTTGCACCTCCAAACTGCTCCCAGGCAGATGTAAGATGAAAGACCCTGAACCCTCCAGGCCTATACATTATATCCCCTCGGTTGGGCTAGCCCCATACTACACAGAAACGTCAACCGAGATGTCTCTGTTACCAGCTCTGCAGCTGGTCATAGCAGTAGTCAAAACATGAAGCAAATCAATGTGTGTGTGTGTCTGTTGGTTAAGTGGTGTGTAGCTAAAAACATTCTCACAGACTTCTAGTAACATGTCGTGACTTAAACATAAGAACATATTATGGCTAAGGCTACAGTTATACACATCATAATAATAATATTAAACATCCTGTCTGCTGACAGTCATCAACTCTTCTCTCTAGTTATCCTTGACCAGATGTACCCTGTAGAAACTCATAAGCATGACTAAGCATTTAACAGTCTAACTAGACATCCTATCTCCACTAAACATTTCTAATACATAAAGTATCTATCCAATATCTATCTGACTAAAAATATCTAACACCATCAAAGTTTGAACTTTGGCTGGGTCACTCAAGGACAGTCGGAGAAGCCACTCCAGTGTTGTCTTGGCTGTATGCTGCTGGTCATGTCTCAGGTCACTGCATTCTGGAGCAGGTTTTTCTTCAAGGACCTCTCTGTACTTGGCTGAATTTATCCCCCCATCATTTCAGACCAGTCTCTCTGTCCCTGCTGCTAAGAAGCCCCCCCAGAGCATGATGCTACCTCCACCATGCTTCACCGTAGGGCTGGTGTTACAAAAGGAGTTCTGCCCAAAGAGTTCAATTTTTGTCTCATCAGACCAGAGCGCCTTTGCTCTGACTCCTTTCAGTGCCGTTCGGCCAAGCCCAAGTGAGCTGTCATCTGCCTTTTACTCACAGTGGCTTCTCTCCAGCGACTCTACCATAAAGGCATTATTGATGGAGTGCTGCTGAGATGGTCGTCCTTCCAGCAGATTCTCCCATCTCTGCAGAGGACCTCTGAAGCCCGGTTAGAGTAACCATTTAAAATTAACATAATAAAGTGTGCAAAAAGCAATGGGTCTAAATACTTTCTGAAGCCACTGAATATGGGATTTTCCCCTGTGATATGAGTGTGGGGAGAAGAAACGCAAGTGTTTTGTAAATGGGCCATCGTCTGAGAGGCATGGCAGGGAAAAAGCTTTTTCCTCCAACAGGTAGACTAAGCATTTTAAGTCTTTTGAGGAGAATAAGGCACTGAAGGACAAAAAAAACTGTGAAAAAGAAAAGAGAGGAGAGACAGAAGCAGCAGATGGATTGTTCACAAAGGATAAGAGGAAGAACAAAAGACCTCAACTTTCATGAGTCACATGTATACACACACACACACACACACACACACACACACACAAACACAAGCAAACCTGTAATTAAAGCCAGAGACAAGGTATTGTTTTGCTGAGGTACAGGCGGCTTGGTGGCAGATGGGTGCTCTTTCAACACGGACATATGCTGTACTGTGGAGAGCTCTGCACATGCAGCTCAAGCATGTACACTATAATACCATGCTAGACAAAAGCATAAAAAGCTGTGAACAGGTTTTCCATACTATATTTAGGATAGTATAGCTGGAGCAAAGAGGTCATGTTATTTACAAGAAATACTTCTGGGTAAAAAAAAAGAACTGAGCATCTCAGTAAGACAGGAAGATTGTTCTCTCTTATCTGAGACAAGCGTGTGCATATTTGTGTACAAAGCCAAGGTCCAGGCTAGAAGCACCTGCCTTCTTGGCCATAAACCTGTGTAAATCGGACAGTTCAAACATCAGCCTGTTTCTAGTTGAACCGAAGGGCACTTCAGCAAACATACAAGCACGCAATTTCTCTCTCTTTCTCACACACACACATACACATACTGTTCCGCCTATCTATCTGTGACATTAATCACCTGAAGCTTTGGTACACAGGGAATGCAGGTGAACAAAAGAGGAATAGAATAAAAGGCAATAAGCAGGAAGTCAGACCAACATGATGCACTGCTTGTGCAAAATTGGTGGGAAGAGCTTTAGGATTGAGGGCCCCATTTTCCCCTCATTTTGTTGGTAATTGACCTCTGAAGCGTAATGTGCAGTGCAGTCAGAGGTAATTAGCATGCAACAAACTGTTGCTTGATTGCCTGAAATGAGCATTTTAGAGGAAGCCATGAAAGTAGAATGCAAAGTGTTTTCTATTGTATGTGTAAGTAGAGGAAACCTGATTTGAGATGTGTGCATAGAAATGGGAACTGAGCTCTGCATGTGGCTGTGGCCCCTGCGTCAACAAAAGGTGCATTAATGTAACTCTGAATGGAACCACCTCATGCCTTTTCATTTGACCTCATCTTCAGGAAAGTACACGCTATCCACCTGCTGGCCGCCAGGGTGATACAGTTCACTCTGGCATTACATCGCTCTGCACAACATAGGAACATTTTGGTAACACTTTACAATAAGGGTACATTAATTAACCGTACTTAATGCAGTAATAAGCATTAACTAATAGGTAACTAATGCATTTATTAATCATGTTTAAATGTTTTTCATATTAATTAAAGTATTACCTCATACATTATTTAATAGTTTTTAACGACACCGCTAACATTTGTTGATGCAGTAATAAGCATGAACTAAACGTTAATTAATACAATAATAAGGAAATAGTAAATAGTAAATTGTCAATAAAGATATTAACATTTATTTCATGAAGGTCACAGCTTAGCAGTTTCATTAGGAGAAGGCTGTTTTAATGTTCATTTAAGCATAATAATTGTCCACTTACTTGTCCATCCTCCAACCAACCAATTCACTTTGTCCTCGCTCCACGTTCATCTAAGGTGGTATCTTCCAGCTTCTGATTGACTGAACACACATGATGCAGGTATGCAGCAGTGGGCAGGGCATGGATAGTTGGAAAGCATGCA